CTTTTCAAGTCAAAGTTTTGACACTAAAACACATGAGCACTTTGATTTCACAAGTGTGTTAGCATTTAGTGCTGCGTTCATGCTTTGTCTGTCTCCGTCAGTCAGTGGTGTTCTCTGTATTCAACATGGTGACAGTGGGTGTAGTGATAACCATGTGGGCTGCACCGAAGCTGGGCTTTACAACAGAGGGAACAGTGGGGATATGCAGGCTGGAGTCAGAGGCCCATCCATTAACTTGACAGGGCGCAGAAGCTGCCAAGAATATGAGCGCATGCTTTGGAGCATGCTCCTCAGAGGGTGTGTGTCTCGCTGCGCTCATACCACCTCAGTCCCTCCAAGTACCACCAGAGCGTCTGGCACTGGCAACCAGTTTATGTCCATCTCTGTCTGGGTCTGGAACCACAGGGAAGCTCTGTTCAGCTCAGTTTGGATCATCCTGGCCCAGAACCTGAGAGAGCAGAGAGGGGGTGAAACCCAGCGCTCCCATCAGACTGTCTGCTTCTCTGTTCCCCGAGGAAATCAGTTTAACAGTCCCCAGCTCTTGGCAAGCAGAGGGCGAGAGGGGTGGAGGGGAAGAGGTTTGTGTGTGTGTGTGGGAGAGAGCAGGAGAAGAGATGGAGAAGGGAGGTGTTACTGCCTTTCTGGGCGAGAGGGAAATCTAATAAAATTGAACTAATGGGGTTGTGGAGTTTGAGGGAACAGAAAGTGGGTTTTGCAGGCAGGCACTGGTGGGTAATGTTGATGGAGGTGAACAGGATCCTTTGACAGTTTGGAGCCAAACTTCAGCTTTCGGTTGCAGCTTGTGAGCTCATGTTGAGCGTAGAGTGTGACTTAGGGAGCCTAGCCACATAAATTCAGCTGTAACAGTTAAGATATATATATAAAGCGATTAGAAATACTGTGTGCTAACGTCGCACTAGTCGTGAGTTAACAAATAGCTGGAGGAGACAGACAGAAGCTTTAATATGTGGTCTGATTTTTATGGGTAAAGGAAGATCTCTATTTAAAACCTCAATCCTTTTGTCGTTAAACCGTGACACTACAGACTGGTTAAATCTTTCTAACCTGCTGTAAGGCGCCAGTGAGCCACAGGTCCTCTGATAGCACACCGCTCCACTTTTAAGAGGAATAAAAGTGCTCACCCCGACCTCACTTATTTGATTTACCCATCCTCGCCCAGGCGTGGTCTCCTCTCTTCTGTACCTGCTCTGTGCTCCTACTTTCTCCTTTCCGGGGTTAATAGATATGAAGTCATCTGGTTGGGAGAAACCTGAGTGTGTTCTCGGGACGTGCCCTGAGCACTCACAGGGACATCACTCAGGGCCTGTCGTGTCAGAGAGGAAGCAGTCATTAATAAATATCATTAATGGATGATCACCAGATATCATATAAATGAGAGAGGCCTAAAGAAGGACTGGAAGTGGAGAGGTCAAGGGGCAAAGATCTAAGAAGAGATAGTTTCCTCATGGGCAAAAGGCGTCTGAATCAGGAATGGTGCTTTAATAGTGAAAAATCAATACCGCCACCACTTGCAGTATGTTGAAATTGGATCAAATGTGGTGTCAAATGCAGGTATTTATTCTCCTTATTGATAGATGTTGGAAGAAACTGACCGTGTCTTTACGGTGTCACATATTCCTCATATTCCTATTGTGCCTGCTTTGTTCTTTTTTTTTTAACAACAGAGGGGCACGCTGCTGAGCCCTCTGTGCTGCCACAAGCCAACACCTGCACCGATTTAATGACTGTTTTCTGTCGCAGCCATGTTGCTGCAAGAGAAATGGAAATGTATGTGTGTGTGTTATTAGAGTAAAATGCACACAGCGGTTAAGTTTCTGTGCTCAGCAGAGTCTGGGGAAATACAACTGTGTGTTATAAAGTCATTAGGGAGCTGATGAAGGTGTTTGAGCGTCTCAGCCTGCTCATCATCACCGTGCTAACGTCCTTCAGTTGCGTCATTGTGGTTCTGGATACAAAGACTTAAGTTTTGGCCCAGCAGGATTTAACGGAACTGTGTCTCAACTCCAGTCGGAGAAGACGGAGACACCTGTGCAGAGATAGATTCAGGAAGAGATTTTTTCTACGGTAAGGGCCTTTTTACTTTTCAGTATGGTACAAACTGTTTTTCTTCTTTCTGTTCTATACTTTATTTGTTTCACAGCAAAGCAGAACAGTAACAGAACATAAAAAAGTCAAAACCATAAATTAATTCAGTTCCATTTTTTCTTAGACAGAGTTTAAAGCTCTTAACTGCAGATTGTTTCATGGTTTTTGAGCCTTAGCTGTGACATTCTTATCGCTTCTTTTTTATTCTGGCCTTGGGTGTGTCTGATAAATACTAGCCAGGGAACAGTTGGATTCACTTCCATATGTGCTTTGTTTGGTTCATACTTTTACTGAGAGTTGTGAAGCTTTGAGCTCGCTGACCTGCCTCTGTGCTTTGACACGCACTGGCCTCCTTGAACTGCCGGCTAATTCAATTAGCAAACTGCTGCACTGCCAGCTGGAAAACTCTGAGACTCTGATAAAAGAGCAGTCCCTGTCCTGGGCTGTGTGTGAGGAAGACCCACTGGAGTCCATCTAATCTCTCCTCACCCTTTCACCTCCCTCGTTCCTCTGTGTCCTTCTATCAGCACTGATTGAACCAAACAAGCATTTTGGCCCCATACAGATTTTTATTTTTTTTTTACCTGGAGCATGGAGATAAACAAACTTGGACTTGTGCACATCCTGATTGCCTGTTCTGTGAATGACAGGAGCTTGTCGAACCTTGATTTTTTTGTTTTACAAGAAAGGTGGGTCTCACTTCTTTGGTCTTTCTGAAAGCTGAAGGAAGTATTCATTGATAGCCTCCAGGCTTTGAAAGCATCCTGCAATACATAGAAGATGCACTTGGTGCTATGATTTAATCTATTACCGGTTCCAGCTGCGCATCAACTAGTCTTTTGGTTACTTTTTCTTTTTTATAACTCCTCCAGCTAATTATTCAGTAAAACCCCTGCAGAAAGTGACTTTGCCTCTCAATGACCTACAACCTTTTCGTTGAGGTTTATAAAGTCTCAGTATAACTTAGAAGATGCTGGATGTTGTGGACAGCTGCAAGCCTGAGAACACCCCCTACTTGTTAGCGTTGTGGTCTTTTAACACCCATCTTATTGGTTAAAAAAGGAAGGGCTGTGGCTCGTGAGACTTGAGCACACGAGGCTATGGTGAAGGCAGATAACTAGGTGTGATTTTAAAAAGTGGATTTTTTTTTCTTTTTTTCTGGGTGAGACGTTTAAAATAAACATTCATTAGGTTAAAAAAAAACATTAAAGCTTCAGAAATGTACTTGTGTCACAATGTCTGGCATCTCTTGGTATGACAAACAGAAACCATAGTTAGCTGAAACAGGCTCAGCAAGGTCATAATTTTACTTGGCTGGTTTCATGTGCAGCTTGCTGTATCACACCGTGTTCACCGAAAACAAGGTAATGAAAACCAAACTTATAAATGTGTTGTTTTTTTTTTACAAATATATATATATACCTTTTGTAAATCCAGTGGAACCATGCAGTCACATGGCTCGTGAGATTTTAAATGATTTATTTTACCGTGCCTCTTCTCCGCCTGTAAAAAGTTTTCCGCTCGTATAGACAGTGCGAGGGAGGAGCGCAGAGCTGATGTTTTTGCTCTAGTCATGTCCTAGCTTCGTGAGCTGGCCCAGCTGGATGCCATTCCCGATGGGAATCATGAATGTGAAGGTTGTTAAAAAAAATGTGGAGCCGTGGACGTACTGACAGCAGCTGGCTGAATTGAAGGGGGGAAGGGAGCGAGGAGAGAGCACTAAGAAAGAGAATAAAAAGTTTGTGGAATTCACAACAGTAGCCTTGGAGTGACCCTTTTTTTGGTGCACTGTTTGCTGGTAGGATGTTTGCTAAAAGTGAAATGCATACTAGAATAAATATTTACCATATTTTCCAGCGTATAAGTCGCATCAGTCAAGAAAAGCATCACGAAGAGGAAAGAAACGTATAAGTTGCTTCGGTGTATAAGTCGCTTTTATTATGTGTCACTGCTGACCCGTTGTATTTATTATGCATTTATTTAATTATCAAAATGACTTTATTTTGCCTGGGCACCATCCATCCATTCATCCATCCATCCATCCATCCATTCATCCATCCATCCATCCATCCATCCATCCATCGCCAAAGCTGTTAGCTCTCCAGCGTTCCTCCACCTGCACCAGCTGAATGAAGCGAGCGCACGGGAGGACTCGCTGTTGCAGTTCTTAGAAATTTAAAGCGTCAGTCAAAAATTGCGTTATGAATATGGAACAAAGTCGCTTCGGCGTATAAGTCGCAGGACTGACAAATCTATGCAAAAAATTGTGACTTACACGCCAGAAAATATGGTACTTAAATGCAAACAATAAGTACAAATATTTTAGAACGGCTAAAAGCCATAAACATGTATGTATGTTTTTATGTCTAGGTTATGGCTGCTTTCGTCCTTGTCCTCTTTTGGTGCCTAGATAAACAGAAAAGAGGAGACAAGCATTTGGTATACACGAGGAACACAAGTGCACCTTCAGTGAGCCGCTGTCTGGTCTCTGTCACGACTGCTCAGAGACACCGGCTCAGTCACGGCTGAGTAGACCACACAGCTAGAGCAACAAATCTACCTTCAGCCTGGTCAACAGTCTACGGTTCACACCTTCACCAACCCCACACTCACACATAAAAAACAGGCTTTTAGGAATATGAAGAGGAGGGGCGGGTGTGATGGCAGTCGTGAAAGGTGAAGAGCATGAACGACAGGAGTGAAGGAGAGACAGAGGACAGCCTAAGTGGCTTTGATTTGTTCTTTTGACGTGGATTTATGGAGCCATTTGTCATGTCGTTGTCAGTGTGTGCTCTCTAACCCTTAATCAGCATGCTGAACGAGTCAAACACGGCAGAGAAAACAGAAAACACTGGATGAAACGTGCTTAAACGTTGTGTTTCGTGTCTGCACAGAGGCTGAAGGCTGCACTTTCACACCACCCCGGTTCCATTCCTAACGGCAACATGAACTCCATGGGTCACATGATGGACATGATGTCTTCACGGCAGGAGCAAGGCGGCCATCATCACATGCACCCGCACCAGCACCTGCAGGCTCCTCCCCACACGTACCAGCACCATGAACACCACCATCACAACCAAGGCCACGGCCAGGCAGCGCACCACCACCACCCGCAGGGACACAATCTTCATCACAATTCCCACAATCCCCACCTCCTACCTGGACACCCCCACCAGACGTCACCGCACGCTCCTATGCACTCTGCTTCTCAGGTAAGTGGAGCATGCTTCCCGTGAGAATAAAACCCTTTTAGAGAGCTCAAAGGAAAAACTTGTGGCTTTTTCTTTGAGCCACAAGTTCAATAACACATTGACTACGCTGCACATTAAAATCTTTATTGCAAAGAGAATCCACCATGTATCCACCGTGACTAAAGCCAGGCAGTGCTTTGAGTAGGTCAGAAGTCTGCTATTAGTGGTTTAATGTTGAAGCATTGTTGAAATGATGCTTAAAATCCACAAGGCAGTGGACAAACACATTTTCCTCAGCTGCAGCCACGATGCCAAGCAGTTTCCTGGCATGCTTCTTGAATTTTTTTATTTAATTTTTTAGTTTGGTTCATGTCTGTCACACAGACACCAGGTCAGATAGAGGTCATAAAGTGGTAAACACGAATGATGCTCATGACTGTCCTGTGGAAACTTTGTTTCACATCACCTAGAGCAGGGGTCTGCAATCTGCGGCTCTGGAGCCACATGCGTCTCTTTGGCTCTTTCAAGCTTTGACCAAAAGTGACATAAACCTGAAGTTTATTGGTTGTTGTACCAACAACAAGAATAGTTTTAGCAGTTTCCAGGTCATTTCCTTTGCCAATATGTGAATGATAGTAACAGTAAAACTCGTTGACTACATCATGCTAGTAGTTTATTTGCTACTTCTTTTAGCTCACTTCCAGTCTTACCGCGTGATCTTTTTCTCAAATCCACCAAATATTTTGGGGGAATACCTTTAAGACAAGTTGTTGGTGGAAGAAATGTGGCGAGTCAACGTCATAATAAAAATTAAAGAAAAAAACAAAGTCAAAGTAAATGGAAGTATTTATTTTCCTTTTAAAGTTCAATTACATATCCATCAAACTGGCTTAATTTTTAACTTTATGCTTTGTTACTTCATAATAGGATACTTTATGAATTGTTTCCACAATTAAAAAGAAAACACACATAAGCCTG